CTTCTTTTTATATTCTCTCTCTCTATTTGTATTATTTTGTAGTAAATTTAACTGCGGTGGGGATAGAAGTTCAGTATTCTATCGAATCACTTGAATTTATAACATTGTCAATCACTCGACGTATACGCGTCCGAGTTCAGGTTCAGAAAACATGCATTATACACCTAAAAAGAGAAAGAAATTCCTTCACGGTTCCTCTTCGTCGGCGAACGTACCCCCCATTCGTTCACACTCCAGATATTTTATATAACTCAATGCTATTACTATATTGGATACATAGATAATGTCGGTTCGTGAGTGGTAGTGTACATATACGAGCATTGCTGTACAACCGCGTGAACCCGTTCTGAATTTGATTGCAGGGCTTGTTTGCGAGGATTACCTTCCGCGAGCCGCTGTTCGTCGGCGGCCCCGGAAACACGACCGGCCTGGAGCGACTTCCGGTGAGGACCGGATTTAAGGGTTGCGTCCGGCATCTGGAAGCCAATGAACACCGTTATCGCTTCCCGCTAGCGCCGCAGGGGGATGCGGCGAACGGTTTCGACGTCGGTGAGTACGACTTACTTTAATTAAACGGCGGGGGTCGACGCCCACGCACTTGCCCGTCGTTCGCCGGTTAACCCGTTCTTTCGCGACCGCCGCAAATGTTTCCCATGTTCGAAATTAGTTTCGCGAATGATATTCCTAAAAAGGAACACCCGGCGAAACACGGATTAAATTAACGAATTAAAACGAGAGAAACGATGACCCGCGTCGCGCTTATTAATTTCGTGTTTCGCCGTAGCTGTTGCCTCTTGATAAATATACATATATTTCCGGGATAAAAAGAATTCTCCAAATTAATCGTCTCTATTATTATTATTATTATTATTATTATTATTATTATTATTCCACGTCGTCGAGGCAGCAAATATCGAGTTCAGTGAGTCGATCTAGTCTGTGCTCCGGCTATGTGAAATCCTATCGGCCATACAAGAATCGTGCTCCTTCGTTCAATCATCACTTAATTGCATTTTTATTGCACACGTGATATGATTTGTTTTTGAACGACTCTTGTGTAAATGAAAATCGGCCATATTTTCCTAACCGGGAGCACCGGAAACTGGCTTGGGGGATCGATTGCCGAATCTTCATTCGACCGGTCTTCAACGAGTTACGTATAATCCCCCGAAGCGTAGCCTCTCCAGAGATAGCTTTTAAGGGCGCTCTCGGTTTCTGTGCGACCGCTCCTTCGTCTGTCCTCTGGACAGAATGCACAATGCATCAAAGAGCCCTGCACGTTCCCGTACAACTATCCATTTTTTGGTCCTCGATTGTCCGCCGGTTTCGGTCCTGGGTCAAAGGTGAAGGAAGGGCGTTGAACGATATCAAAGCAAATCGTCCGTTCCTTCTCTCGATTCACTTCGAGAATCTCCAAACGTCGATCGGTAAAATCGGTTGCCTGTGTTTCTCGGGTTTAGAAACACAGACCGAAGCGTCTCATAGAATTTTTGTAGGACAATGAGTCTTAATTCACGATTAAATTTCTTTACGAGCTTAAACGTGCGAGCCTTCAGAAATAAGAGAGAATTTAAAACTAAAGAGGTGAGCACGTTGGTATATGTAATTAGCTTAGTAAGTAGCACTCGTGGGCTCTGACGTTTCAATTCATCTTCGCCGCTGTTATACTGGAGTGGGTGCGAAAGAGGATTTTATTCGACCGACGATATTAGACGAAACATTAAATGATACATGAATGTACTAAAAGAAATCGCCCTTTATTAAGGAACATAAATCCCGTCTATTAAATTAATTAGCAGTTGTTCGATTCCCGCCGTACCGCGTCACCCCAAAAAATGAATCAACGTGAACGAGACCAATAACGCGAGATAGCAGCATATTAACTCGTTGCGAGACCTGATCCCGGCCACAGCAATAATCACGACGATAAAACACCACGGTACACAATTGGACGTTACAGTGTTATTTCGTTCGGTGACTCGAATTAACCCATTATCATTGAACACAACAGGTGTCACGTGAATTCAGATTGAAAATTCTGCAACGATCATTAGATTGACTGACGACCTCTCCTAAAATTCTGGTCTATCAATCGAATCAAGATTAGATTTTATTGAACCGAAGAACGAACCAGATCTGAAGAGTTGAAAACATTGATTAATATATCGGTAAACAGATTCCCGTTCCCAAATTAACCGGGCTTCGCATTGAACACATAAATGTCCATAACGAGGATAATTATTAATTAATCACTGGCCCGTCGACGAGCTCTCGCGACCCGTCAGAAAACGAGGGGAAAAAAGGGCCAGGCGTTACACGATGACAGGCCGTTCATTTCCCATTGTCGAAGGTATCTCGACACCCGGCGATAATTGATTAACACTTGATAATTAACGATAGCTCCCACGATTAGCTCCGCCTCGGCGCGGCTTGCTCGTGCTCTTCTGTCACGACTTTGATCGGCCAGCTAATTAACCGGCGCGGAGAATGCACTTGCCGCTCAGAAATTTCATTCCAACCCGTTCCGATACCCCCGCTTGCATCTCGCGCGTCAATCGACTAGGCAAGACAGTTAAGGATGTATTGGCTATACAGTCAATCCCAAAAGTTTATGCACTTTAGAAACTCATTTTTTAAAAAGAAATCAGACGTCGGAAGAACAATGCTAATAATAAATAGCTACGTGCTAAAAAGTATAGAA